TGAGTGAGTCTCTCAATAAAGATTTTCTGCATCCACAATAACTCGAACCCGAGACATTGCATAAACGACATCAAACTGCGCGTTGCTTCTTTTAATAAAGGATAATTACGACAAATACAGTTTTAAATCACATCATACGATTTTGACTAATCCCTCTTGGTTTTGTTGTTGTCTTCTGACCCGTAATTCAGGCCATGTACATTATTAGAATTTTTATAAATCCAAATTTTCACGCAGGTGCATCACTGACCACACGATTTTCACCTTTTTCTCCAATATTAATAGATAGATAGTTACAAATTAATTTATCATGAATATCTGATTGAATTATGAATTAATTCACCAATTAAATTAGTCGATTGTACAAAATATTTGATAAATATCTTGAAATAGATAATTACTTTTTATAAAAATAGCAATGACATAAAACTATACATATATATATATATTTTAATTTGATTAGTGTTGTACAGTGACATAAAACTATATAGTTGTTATTAGAATGATCTATCTACTAATATATAAAGAGACAATGATATTTACTTGAAATAGCAACAAAGAATCATAAAAAAAATATTGATTTCGGCCCGACTAAACTATTTACTATATTGAGTATTATTTTTTGTCAAAATTTGAAAAATCCCGCCTAAATTAATGTACAAAATCACTTTGGTAAAATATTGCGGCTATTACATTTATTAGTTGCATGATTTTAATTTAATATAATATATTAACAAAACTTGCAGCTATTATCCTTACTAGTTGCATGGTTTAAATTTGGTATATAATATATAAAAATATAAAAATATTTTTATTTAAAATTTAAAATAATAAATTAATTATTCATTATTTGCGGATCAATATTAACTTGGAAGTAAACGAAATAGTCAATTATTTATAGTTTAATAAATTATATCAATAACTTACGGGTCAATATTAATTTAGACGTAAACAAAATAGTCAATATTTATAGTTTAATATATTACTTAATTACTTATTTTTTTTATTTGAATAGATTATACAAAAATAGATTACTTTAAGTAACAGAATGATGTAAATTTTATATTTATACTAACTATTCACATAGGTTGTTAAATATATGATAATTTTTTACCAAAATAACTATTTTATGGAATCACAATATAGTCAAATCGACTATCTGAATAAAAATTTTGAAATGATACTTATTTTAAAACGAATATAATGTAATTTATTATCAGTTATGTGCACCACACGGGTGTGGCAAAAATCCATTTTTGGTCCGCTAACTTGTCCATTGTCCACTTTAGGAAAACTATCTTTCCCCTCATAAAAAATGGTCCATTATGTTACACTTTTCATCAGTTTTAGTATACTAATCCAGTGGCCCGAAATTACGAGATGACAAATCAGGTTTTTATCCTACCACGTCAATATCCTATCCCTCCACGTAGTTTCAATCCCGGTCCACGTCATCTCATAATCCCACCCAGGGGAGTAGTGTACTAAAACTGATGAAAAGTGTAACATAATGAACTATTTTTTATGAGGGGAAAGATAGTGTACCACAAGTGGATAACGAACAAGTTAGCGGACCAAAATTGGATTTTTGTCACATGAATTGTATACTAATTTTAAATAGTATTTTTATATAATTTTGTTCAATTTAAACTTTATATAACATTTTCAATAAATTAGAATAGTTAATTGTATTATCTACCGATTCTATATTTTTCAATTAATTTATAAATATTACTTAATAAAAAATTTTAATTTATAAATATTAGTGAATATTTTGTACTCGTGCACGGCACGAAACAAACATACTATTTGAAAAACAAACAGCTTCAAAATAGTCAAAATAATAATTTAGCAGATCATCCAACACAATAATGGTACAGTGAAGCTCACCTAATATATCTTTATAAATATTTTTTTAGCTTATCTACTTTTAACAGTTAAGTGCAAATTAAGAAATAATATATTATCAGTGCTGTCAAATTTCAAACACGTAATAATGATCAGTTGAAGTTGAAAAGGCCATCTAATTCTAACAATTAAGTGAAATTAATTAAAAAAGAACATACACGTAAAGCTAAATAAAATAGACACATAAAATCTATTACTGATTTAATTTTGCATAATATCATATCTGTAAATGTAATTTCATTTTCTAAAGGTGGATTGTACATTTTAAAAATAACTCTTCAACGAACATATTTTCCGCTCGACTCGCTCGCGAAAAATTTAGCTCGTCATTTTTTTTATTTATTTACTAGTGTTGATACCCGTGCGATGCACGGGGT